AAACACTGGCGAGACAAGTGTGACATATTTGTCGAAGAATGCGACCCACAAAGTTTACAAAATATGTAAGGGCCGGCTTTCATTACAGTATGTCCCGTGCCGTGCGGGGCGGGACAAGGGAGTTTGGCTAGGGCATGCTTATGGCGGCTGGAAGACCAGCACGCTATGCAACGAAAACGCTGGACATCTTGATCCCAGACCAGTTCATGGGGCACACCCCGAGGAGGGAGGACAAGGGAAAGAGAGGGGGCACGAGGGGGAGGAGGAGGACGAGGGAGACGGGGGAGGCCATCTAATTTGGCAAGGCCCTTGCTGGCCATGTGGGCCACAAACATGCCAACATGCTCGACCACTATGCGAGAACGTGCAATGCGGGTCATAGCATCCGAATCCACGGGATGCAACTCAGCCCCACGTCGGGCATACGTGTCGGCGCAGTCGTTGCCTGTAGTCATCCAGGCCGCCTGCACAGGCGACATCACGTCTAAATGCGAAGTCACGAGGACGGAGGGAGGATGGAGAAAGGGAGGAGGAGCAGGAGGAGCAGGAGGAGCAGGAGGAGCAGAAGGAGCAGGAGGTGCAGAAAGATTAGGAAGAGAAGCAGAGCGAGAGGAGGAGTAGGAGGAACAAAGTAAACCCAAAATACACCAATGATGTTGCAGTAAAGCCTCCCTCCAAATTCCCTCTTGATGCTTGATGGGTACCCACACAGTTTTACTTTCACGGAAGGAAGCGTCACATTGGAAAACCAACCGTCTTAGAATCCGCAACTGACAGAACACCGCCCCTGGGACTTCAATGAATCGAATCAACGTGACTGCTGTGTCCTGATAATCCTTGATCGTGCTTAAACACCATTCCTGCGACTTCAGCACCGCGAATCAAAAATGATTGATTGTTGTAGCATGACAACATTTCTGCGAACATCATGTCTGGGACATGTTGAAGAATAACTGCCCTCTTTCCGTGAAATTGCTGTAAGCTGTTACAAAAAATGCGGGCGGCGCTAAGCGAAGGCGAAAACCAAACTTTGAAAGGCAACCACCATCCGTCAAACTGCTGCGCTATGTATGGAAAGATGCGCGCGGTGCAAAAACAAAAACCACAGGTTGAAAAACATATGAGCTCCATCCGTGAAACTGATGCAAAGGTCTAGTTTCAGGATCAACTGTGGTGAAGAAGTCTCAGCAGCAACGCCCGGCCCGCACTACCGACAAGGCTGGGGGTACGACAGGGAGGAACTGCTTATAAGGAATGGTGATGGACGAGGAGGAAGGAGGAGCAGGAGGAACGAGGAGAAGGAAGTAGGGAAGGAAGGAGGAACTGGAGAGAGGGAGGAGGGAACAGGGAAGCGAGGGACCGAGGAGGGCAAGCACGAAGAGGACGGCGACGCGGCGGACCCTGAGATCCGGCGCTGCCAAAAAGACAACATCGCAAAAATCACGACTGGGGCCCCAAGCCCTACCTTTCTGCGCCATTTGTCGAGCCGGAGCGACGTGTGAGGAGTGCCCCAGGGCTCAATAAAGTGAGCGAGAACGCCGAGTTTCTGTGAAAAACTTGCCGCGCCCGGATCTCAGGGGAGGGCCAGGTCGGGCATGTCCCCCTAATACGGGCGGATGTTGGGGGAAAGATGCAAAACTACTCCACAAATGCTCCAGCACGGTCCAAAGATACCAGGAAGGCCCTCCCCAGACCATGTTTCCACTATTCCCGAATACTCCTCCTGTACAGGGACAGGCCCGACTTCAGGGGCGGGCCGCGGTCCTCGATGGCCGCCATCTGGGCGCTGGAGATCTCCGCCCCCGCGGGCGCGGAGGCCGCCCCACCGCTCTCCGCGGGGGCCGCCCTGCCGCCGCCGACGGCCGCCTCCGCCTCCTCGGCCTTCGGCGGCGGCGCTGGCGGCGGCGCCACCGCCGGCGGCGCCGCCGCCGCGTCCTCGGCAAGGGGGGGGGGAAGGAAGGAGAGGGAGGGAGAGACAGATGGGAACGAGAGAGCGAGCGAGAGCGACGCCCCCCCCCCCCCCGAAAAACGAAGAGAGGGAGAAGACGAGCGAGAGAGAGAGGGAGAGAGGGAGAGGGAGAGAGGGAGACGAGCGAGAGAGAGGGAGAGAGGGAGAAGACGAGGGAGAGAGAGAGAGAGAGAGAGAGAACGCAGTGATTCGGACAGGTAGCTGTCCTGGCCCGCTGGGCGCGAGCGCCGGCCGCGCGTGAGTGGCAGAGGCAGCGTTGGCCTCACCCCCCGTGCGCGGCCGAAGGAACTGACGGCCCTGTTTTCCACCACCACCACGAGGAGTTGAAGGACAGCATGAGTTGAAGGGGAAGGAGGAGGAGGACGAGGACGAGGAGGAGGACGAGGAGGAGGAGGAGGAGGAGGACGAGGAGGAGGAGGAGGAGGAGGAGGACGAGGAGGGCGAGGACGAGGAGGAGGAGGAGGAGGAGGACCCCCTCCCCCTCCAACTCATGGTGGAAATCAAGCCCAAACAGGAACCCCGGCTGGAGACAAAAGCATCATGTGGTGATCAACGGCGAGACTCGCCACTGCTGCCCCTCCGCAGTAATGAAGTCGCCGACTTTCAACGCGCACTGACGCGCGCGCCGTGGAGCCCCGCCTTGGGGCACCCCCCTCGGCGGCCTGGTGCCTGGTCTGCGGCACATGTTGCCGGGTGCTCGCGCAGCGTGCGGCAAAAGGAAGCGAACATGACCAAGCATGCAAACGGCCCCACCCAGCGGGGTGGGTGCAGGGGCCTGCCCGCGTGAACCCCAGGGGCGACAGGGACACGAGAACCAGCGGCTCCGCAAGCACGGCCGCCCCCGGCTCCGCCGGGCCCCACGCGGGCGGCTCAGAGACGCACCGCCAGCGGGGGGGCCAGGCAGGGACGGGGCAAGTGCGGAGGCCCTGCCGCCCCTCGGCGCACGAGGGGGCCCGCAGGGCCCCGTGGCGGCCCGAGCGCGGAGAAGGTGCGAAGGCCTCGGCGCGGAAGGCAGCCGAGCCCTGGTCGCAGCCTGCACCCGGGGCGCACCCAGGGGCCCACACACGACGACACATCGCGCATGGACTGGTCCTGCCCCTGCTGCGGGCAGTGCACCTGGCGGCGCACGCCCGAGAGGGGCGGGCGGGGGACGACGGGGGAGGGCGGCGCTCGTGGCAGCGGCGCCGAGGCCCGGCACGGAGCACGGGGCCGGTGCCCCCCAGAGGCGGCAGGCGTCGGTCAGTCTGCAGGCGGCAGCGGAGTGCGGGGTGGGACGAAGACGTCGTCGTCGTCGTGGCAGGGCGGGCCCCGGCGGCGGTCGAAGGCGACGAGCCAGGACATGACTACCTACCAGACCACCCCAACCCAACCCGAAGGCACGAATTTGACCCGAATTTCGGGTTGGGGGGGGTACGGGGACCATGTGTTTTTTCGACGTTCCCCGATCCCCCCCCACTGGAAATGGAAGGCAAATTGAGGCCTTCGGGTTGGGTTGGGGTGGTTTGGTGGGTGGTGAGGACAGGCGTCGGTAATGGGCGCCGTCCGCTCCCGTGGAGGCGTCGGAAGAAGGCGCGCATGACCATCGCGCGCTCGCAGCACCGTGGGTGGCGCCGAAGGTGCCGTCAAAGGAAAGAGTGAGGGCGTAGAAGCCGCACACCAGTCAGTCGCGCGGTCCCAGGCCAGGCAAACGGCAAGGAAAGCATCACTCGCGCGCGCAGCTTGAGGCACTGATCCACTGCCAGCGTGTCGGCCCAGGGAGGAGCCTTTACCCGCAGTTCCGGGGGTCCGAGGGCGGGTCGGAGGATTGAGCATGGTTTAGTCGCTCTCTATCCCACAGGCGTGGCCTGGGCCCCACTGGCCGATCTGTCCCCCGAGCTGAGGATCTAGGCTGTTCCCATGCAGGCTTCGAGGGGGTTATATCCCCGACTGGGGTGCTGAGATCGTCGGGCTCGGGCTGGGGATGGGGATAGGGATTGGCTAAACGATACTGAAGGACGGTGACCGACGCAGGGTGGAGCAGGTGGGCGGCGAGCGCCCAGAGTGAGATGGCGCCACGGCCTGGCGAGAGCGGCGGCCGTTGGAGGCCGTGCAAAGGCCGCGAGGGGGCGCCGGCCTGGCGTGCGGCGTAGTCGCCGTCGCTGGCGGGACGGCCCGGTAGCCTCCTCCTCATCCGCCTCCTCCTCCTCCTCCTCCTCCTCCTCCTCTCTCCTCCTCCTCCTCCTCCTCCTCCTCCTCCTCCTCTTCCATCCCCTGCTCCTCCACCCCCTCCTCCTCCCCCTCCTCCTCCTGCTCCTCCACCTCCTACGAATCCTCCGCCTCCTCCGCCTCGTCCGCCTCGTCCGCCTCCTCCGACTCCTCCTCCTCCTCCTCGGCCTCCGCCTCCTCCGCCTCCTTCGCCTCCTCCGCCTCCTTCCCTCCTCCTCCTCCTCCTCCTCCTCCTCCTCCTCCTCCTCCTCTCCTCCCCTCCTCCTCCTCCTCCTCCTCCTCCTCTCCTCCTCCTCCTCCGCCTCCTCCGCCTCCTCCTCCTCCTCCTCCTCCTCCTCCTCCGCCTCCTCCGCCTCCGCCGCCGCCGCCTCCTCCTCCTCCTCCTCCTCCTCCTCCTCCTACTCCTCCTCCGCCTTCTCCGCCTCCTCCGCCTCCTCCTCGTCATGTTATTATTAGGATTAGTATTATTATTATTATTATTAGTAGTAGTATTAGTATTAGTATTATTACTATTATTATTAGTATTACTATTATCATTATTATTCTTATTATGATTATTATTATTATCATTATTATTATCATTATTATTATTAGTAGTAGTATTATTAGTAGTATTATTATTAGTAGTATTACTAGCATTAGGATTATTATTATTAGTATTGTTAGTATTATGATTATGATTTTACTAATTATTATCCGTCTTATTATTTTTCGTCTTATTATTATTACCATTATTACTATTATTAGTAATATTATTATTATTAGTAATATTATTATTAGTAGTATCATTATTAGTATTATTATAATTACTACTACTACTACTACTACTACTACTACTACTACTACTACTACTACTAGTATTATTATGATTAATAATATTATTATTATTATTCTCATTATTATTATTACGAGTATTAATATGATTAATAGTATTAATATTAATTTTATCATTACTATTATTATTGTTAGTATTACTATTATTATTTTAATTATTATCATCATCATCATCATCATCATCATCATCATCATCATCATTATTGTTATTATTGCCATTATTATTGTGTATTTTTATCATTATTTTTTATTTGTATTGTTATTAATAAAAAAAATATTATTATGATTAGTCTTCTTCTTACAATTGTATTATTATTATTCTTATGAATAACATTATTCATATTATTATTAGTCGTATTATCATTCTTCTTCTTAGTATTAGTATTCTTCTTACTATTAATATTATTATTATTTCTCTTTGTATTATTATTAGTATTCTCATTCGTCGTATTATTCTTATGATTATTCGTATTATTATTCGTTTTGTTCGTCATATCAGCATTATTATCATTATTACCATTCTTATTGTTAGTATTATTACTATTATTCTTATTATTTGTCTTGCTATTCTTCTTAATATTCTCATTGGTAGTATTATTCATATGATTATTAGTATTGTTATGCGTATTATTATTATTATTAATAATCGTCTTCTTCTTATTATTATTCTTTTTCTTCCTCCTCCTCCTCCTCCTCCTCCTCCGCCTCCGCCTCCGCCTCCGCCTCCGACTCCGCCGCCTCCGCCGCCTCCGCCGCCTCCTACTCCTCCTCCTTCTCATCCGCCGCCTCCTCCGCCTCCTCCGCCGCCTCCTCCGCCTCCTCCTCCTCCTCCTCCTCCTCCTCCTCCTCCTCCTCCTCCTCCTCCTCCGCCTTCTCCGCCTCCTCCGCCTCCTCCGCCTCCTCCTCCTCATCCTTTTCCTCCTCCTCCTCATCCCTGCTCCTCCTCATCCTCTTCTTATTGTTCGTCTTCTTCTCATTCTTCTTATTATAAATAAGTTTCTTTATGTTGGTATTATTCTTATGTTGTTTCTTATTATTCTTATTTATTCCTCTTCTTAGTATTATTATGCTTCGTCGTTTTCTTCTTATTATTCTTATTATTAGTATTATTAATAATATTGGTAATATTATTAATACGATTAGCATTATTATTATTCGTCTCATCATTATTGATATTACCATTATTAATATTATTATTCGTCTTATTATTCATATGCTTATTCTTCTTAATAGTATTATTCGTTGTATAATTTGTCCTCTTATTATTAGTATTCATATCATTATTAGTATTGTTATTCGTATTAGTATTAGTATTATTCGTCGTCGTATTTTTTCTTCTTATTAGTGTTCGTATTATAATTCTTCTTAGTGTTATGATTATTACTATTATTCTTAGTCTTATTATTAGTAATCGTATTATTATTCTTGTTATTAGCCGTTTTACCATTATTCTTATTCATAGTATTATTAGTCGTATTATTCGGATTAGTCTTATTAGTATTATTATTATTATTCTTATTAGCTTTAGTACACGTGGTATTTTTATTCGTAATATTCTTATGATTCGTATTATTATTATTAATATTATTCTCCTCATTATTATTATTACTCTTAGTTTTATTCGTATTGTTTGTCTTCTTGTTTTTATTATTCTTCTTATTTTTCCTCTTCCTCCTCCTCCTCTTCCTCCTCCTCCTCCTCCTCTTCCTCCTCCTCCTCCTCCTCCTCATCCTATTATTATTCTTACTGTTTATTACTATTCTTATTATTATTATTCTTCTTAGTCTTACCCTGCTTATTCTTATTTTTTATTATTATGATTATTCCTCCTCCTCCTCCTCCTCCTCCTCCTCCTCCTCCTCCCCCTCCTGGTCGCTGGCGGTCGACAGTCGGTCGTCGGCGGTCCCTCCGGCGGTCGGCGCGCGGT